GAGGGAGTTTGAGACTTCAGTTCAAATTCCATCACAAATTAAGGTATTGGAGGAATTAAAGAACATATTTTCAAATCCACTGTTCTGAACAACTGTTGATAAAGTTGTACAGAGAGCAACAGTATGCACTGACCATCTCAAACTTTTAGCTGAGCCATCTGGAAAAAGCTAGGAAGCTCTTGAGGAGGGCCAGAAAGGAGTCATCAGAACTGGAAGAGGATTTGTTTGGAGACTCAAAGACAGAAACATTAGCAGCACCACTACAGGGCACAAAATGTTGAATTTGTCTGTGTTGCAGTGCTGGTGCATTATTTTAAGGTTTCTGAGGCTAAACCTTGTAAACAAATCACACAGGTGACTGTTCAGTGGCACCTTTGCAGTGTTAATTTAAATGTAATAATTTTCTTAAGCCAATATATGTTTGGATTAAGTTTGTCATTGGATTGACATACATGGGAATTTGCACTTAATGGAGAAGAAGATCTGATCTTGGCAAGAGAAGGATGTGTGTCTGGGTACAAGTAGCATTTTGGGCATAAATGTATGAAGCTGCACCAAGTGCTGGCTGCTCATTAGTTTCTCCTCTGCATTCAAAAGCCAGTGCTGCTTTGAAAATTGGTCCTCAGATAGGTGGAACAGGCTGTGTGGGTATGGAGTGAATTGTGAAAGAGGGAGTGGGCTATTTGTGTAGTGAGTGGGAGTGGGCCCTGGGGTGCACTTACCCATAAACTGCACCACTGCTCAATGAAACTGGATTATTTTCCTGATACAGAAATTCAATACTCAAACCTTCATATTAAGATACTATTTTTAAATTTTGTTTCTTTTTTTTACTCTTTTTTTCTTTCTTTTTCATTTATCTGTGTGTGCTTTCATGGACATTTGTGTTGAAAAACTAAAAGCACTTTGTCATTGGGTTTTAACTAACTATTCTGAAAGAATAAAGCAGAATCTCTTGAACTGTAACTCTGTGCTTGTTTGTATTAATAGAACTTGTCATCTTGGACAGCTGATAGCAAAAGTTTGTAGAAAATGCTGATACCATTTAAGTTCAAAGTGCACTTTGTTTTGATTATGGCATTCAGAACCTTTTTTTTATTCTTCATTTGCATAGATTGAATTAGAACCTGTAAAGCTTCTGTCTACGGAAGACCACCTGGAGCACGCCCTGGCTAATGAGAGAAGAAGAATCCGACTAGGTTATGAACAGGTCTTTCAGAACCTAATGCAGGAGAGTAATAAGGAAGGTGATTACTTTGGTCAACATAGAAGATGGAACAAATGACTTATGGGCAGCTGGAAGGGAGGAAAAAAGCAGACAAAACATCTGAGTAGAGCTCCTTGAGGTTGTGGTATCATGTAGACAAGTGTGTGTCGTATTTGTGAGAGTGTGTGAGACAGTTATTCTAGTAAAGTGGTATTTCTTTGTCTTTCAGAAATGCCAGATTTTAAAATGCAGGATTGAAGGCCTAGCATGCATTAAATAGGTGCGAAATGCAGATCTTCATGTAGGTTATATGTGTGAGGTTGAACAGTTCACACAGAACTTTGCAACATGGTAATAAAGTCTGATGAGACTAGTTGTAAGAACTATGTGCCATGAGGTAATTTCCAACCAGAAGGAGAAACTTCAGTACATGGAGTTCAAAACAGGTGAAAAAAATACTTATTTTCTTCATGACCAAATAGAAAAATTAAGACAAGAAGCAGGTTTGTCTCTATTTCTCATAGTAATCTCTTAAAGACAGTAGTGCTCAAAAGTTGCTGTGTTCCTCTGCAAAAGAAATTACTCACAACAGTTAGGAAATGTGCTGATACTTGGAAAATCTGAGCTGTAACTGTGTATAAACAACAGACATTATGTGTTTTCACTGAGAAAAGAGAAGACCTGTTGTAAATATAAATTCTAGTCTTAACAATTTAATAAGACTGTGTAGAACTGAAGAAACCTGTTTGCTGCAAGCTAACAAGTTATTTGTCTTCATGGTAAGTGTCTCATAGGAGACAGCTTAATACCATGGAAGACAAATCAGAGGTTGCTGATTTTGGTTTCCACTGTCTTGCCTAGACACTTCCTCAAAGGATGTTAATATTAGCACTAATTCAGCTCCTTAAGGAGACAGAACAAGGGAAATAGGGGAAAGAGAAGAAAATACTGTGTGTAAAGGCTGAAAAATAGGTATAATTCATATCCAGAAAGTGAAGTTCATCTTCTGAGTGGATCTTGTGCAACAACTTGAGTAGGTCCAAAGGGCAAGCTAGTTGTGTCCATACATTTATATAATCATAAAGTTAGTTAATTATGGCAAAAGTCAAAAGTGCAGTTCAGGTCAAGTAGCTTCTAGCACAGATATGCTCTTTTAAAATGACTGACACTGTCTCATGCCTAAATCTGTTCTTGCAAACTGTAACTGAAAAAACAAAGCACAGGGTGAGGATGTGTGGCTAAAAATTTGGAAGCAAAATTGGAAATACTCAGATAATGGAAGGCAGCTACTGCTTTAGATCCACATTTCTCCCTTTTGTGTGTTCTGTGTTGTCTCTGGTAATCACAGGATTTGTAACAGGTTGTGAATAATCATAGCATACTCTAACCTTAATTAGACAACATTTGCACAGGTGCTCATCATACATGGTGGTCAAAGCCTATGAAAAGCATTCAAAAGAGTGTGAGCTGCTCTGACAGCATCTGTTAAAGGTCATACATGGCAACCATGAATAATCACAGGCACATGCTGAGGAAGTTGCCTGCCTGTGTTCACAGTTAGCCAGCTTTCATGGTATCTGCTTCTGTCACTGCTTCTCTGAGGGATGCAGTGAGGGCTGGGAAGGATCACTGTGCTGCGATAGACCATGGGGTGTACCACCTCTTACGTCTCGGAAGAACAGAGCAAATCCTCAGCCTCTTGCTTCCCTTGCAAAGAACAGAGGTCTTCTGTGTCTTCATGGGGTTTTTTTTTTCCTTCCTTTCATTGTGTCTGAAGCAAATGGCATGCTTCAGTAACTGGGGATATTTTTTTCTTGGCTATCAGAGTTACTAACTGAAATAGTTCATTAATATGTTGTTGCTGTGTTTCAGATACTTTCGAGGAGGAAAGTGCAGTTTCAACTGACCTTACTCATGTACAGAGTATTGAGCTTGTTCAGCCTCCTCATGCAAACCATCATGGAAACACTTTTGGTGGGCAGATCATGGCTTGGATGGAGACAGTTGCAAGTATTTCAGCAAGGTACTTTTCTACATCATAATTCTTGCATATGGTTCATAATAAATGTGATTTTGATATTAAGGGTTTCACTGGAATTTATTTTATGAAAAATACAGACCCAAACTTCTGTAACTTTTCTTTCTCCTCAGGTTTCAGTAAGGCTTTGAACTATTTATGTGGTACATTTCCCACAGCATGCCACACCACTGTGAGAGTCAAATCTTCTTCTTCTTCTGTTACATATGCAGACTGTAAGGCAAAAGAGGCTATGTTATCCTCCTGAAACTCTGTGCAGAAAGTCAGCATTGGAAACAGGAATAGAAACCTGGCCTTCCTTGTGGTTGATGCAGTGTTTTAGAAGCAGAGTTAGTCGTTAAGTCAGGATAAAATTGATACTGACCCTGTATCAAATGATGTCCCAGAATGAACAGCCTTCTAAATGTTAGTCTGCAGATACTTAAGCCAAAAGAAAGAATAATTCAGAGAAAGAGAATCAAAAGAAACAGGTTCTGTTTTGTTGGTGTGCACACAGAGTGGATGTGTAACCTTAGCAAGACACTTAACCTTTCAGTCTCTCTGAGTCCCACATCTTATGGGTTTTAATATTTTTAGCAGTTTAAGGGGCTCTGACATCTTCAGGTAGTAAGTATGAAGTATTTTCTTTACACTGCCTGGTATTGCTTGTCAGTATGGCCTAGACATAATAATTTAATTTTTCTTCCCCTGGGATCAAACAGTTGTTTTTCTCCCTGCTTGTTCTTGGACTTTATACAAAGCTTCTTTGTAAGAAACTCCTGAGTTCCAGTTTGAATTCTCCTTGCATACCAAGTGACCTAATTCACTGCAGGGGTGCTAGAGATGTTTTCACTTTTTAACTTTAATAATTAAATGACTTCCACATTCATTATTCATATAGTTTTAATTTGTAGCCAATTAGCTGTACTGATAACAACAGATTTTCTGTAGTGGTTGGACAAACAGCTTGCTTTAGTAACATTAGAATGCACTGACCTTACCTTAGTGTGTGCTTTCATTGGCTTCAAAGGGATTGTTTCAGACTTTTGCCATAATATGACCCAAAATATTTACTTGTTTTAATTTGATAAATTTTAGCTATTGAGAGTCACATTTAGGTAAAAAGGGAAGGAATACACCAGCAAACCAAGTACTGAAAAGACTTTCTTTGAATTAACAAATGTCAGACATGATTTGTCATGTTGAATATTTTAGGAGTTAGAGCTGGTGACAGAAGCTTGTTGAAAACAGAGATTTTGTAGTTTATGCTTGAGAAATAGCTAGTCTCACCACAAACCTTTGTGAGGCCACTCACAATTAGACCTGACCTTTGAATGTGCTGGTTAAGAGTTGCTACGGCCACAAACTGATGGAGGAATGGAAGAGGAGGGCTGAACCTTGACAAATAAGTTTCTAAGAATATTTTAAAGGTTACTCACCTTCCTTCTCCCCTCTCCCCCCCCTGCTGTCCCCACTTTTTTTTGTCTGACCCGCAAATGAAAATCTTGCAGATAGCAATAAAGCCATTTGAATATCTGTAATATTAGTTTGACCTGGGTCTGTACTTTCTCACTTCTTACAGTTGCAGTAAAAGCATTCAGGGCATAGTTTTCCAGGAAAAAAATGAAATATTTAGTCCAAATTTCTGTTTTGTTGCTCTCTTATTTTCCGTATTATTGTGTTTGCATCTTTATAGTGAGCATTGAAAATAAGATCACAGTTTAGCATTTTAAATCAGAAGAGCAAATTATTCGTAATGAAATACAAAGTCATCTGACTGTATGAGTCTATTAAGAAGATGTACCAGTCAGCTATTTAGCTACAGATAATACCGGTACATTAATTTGCAGAGTGCAGTTGAGTTAAAAGCACTACAAAGTTGTATTTTCAAGTTTCAGTATTGCACAATGGAAAATCTATTCTCAGATACACATATGAGATTCTTATTGAGGAGTTTTGCACACGTGCATAAGGACAGAGTGTGCTTCTTGAAGTGTAAAAATAAATGGCATTATTGTATATTGTTCCCTGTTCATGTGATGCACAGAGATCCCACTAAAGAGTGGGGCTTTGACTATGTTTAGAACTGCTGAAGAGACCTAATTTTTGCACGCTCCAGAAAGCTTGTGAACTGGATCCCAGTTCCACAAAGCCTTAAGCTGTATCTATGCTGCAGATTTTTTCTGGAATGGCTGTGAAGGTCAGAGAAGTGGTAGGTTGTAGGAATTTGCTAGTGTGGATGATGCAGTGTTGCAAAACATTTCCTTTAGCAGTGTAGCTGGGTTTGAGCAGGTACATATCTGTTTGTCTACTGTACCGGTTCAGAGAGCAGCTTTGCTAGTGTGCTCATGGAAAGGGTTCTCACCAGGTACAGACAATGGACTGTACTAGACCAGCAGAATTTTACCAGAGTGGCTACAGGCTATTTCACAAGCAGTTCAAAGAGAGCCAGTAAAACAACCCAGCTGAACCTGACTGCGTGTAACTTCATGCAGCAAACTGCACATAATTTAGTAAACCAGTCCAAATATAAAAGATACCAAAACCAGCTATGCGTTAGACAGTTACATGATTCTGTATGAGTAGGTTTTTTATTCTTATTTCATATAACACTAGCAGAAAACATCTGACAAACAAGCAAAAATGTACCAATATTAAAAAGAATACATAGATTGACATTGCTTTCCTTGAACGCTGTTTCTGGTGCTCAACCTTTCAGCTGAGGTTTCTTTTAATTGTATAAAGGCTTCATTGTATTTTTACGTACTGAGCAATATCCTGCTTCCCATGCACTTATGTAGAAATTAATGAAACTCTGTGAAGTAGTGGTTACTCTGTAGGTAAGGGATTCGTCGTCTGGCTTCAAAAGAAGGTAATATCAAGCAGTGAGAATTAACTAGTTGGTGTTTGTAAAGTATGTTGAAAATGAAACAGCATGACATAAGTGGTATTATTATGTTTGAAGCTCGAATTATATGCTCTTGTAGCTGAACATGTTAACTGTATTTCAGTGGGTTATGGAATAAATTAGTGTAATATAGTTACCTTCTATGTTGTGCAAACCTCGTTGCTCTAATCATTGCCCACTTCAAACCTAACAAAGGAGGTTCTTTAACACAACTCTGTTTTGCTCTGTGTCCCTTGCTTTCTTTTTCAGCCACCTTTGTCATTCATATCCTGTCTTGAAGTCAGTCAATATGTTTAAATTCTGGGGACCATCTGTCGTGGGTGACCGCCTTGTCTTCAATTCAATTGTGAACAATACATTCCAGAAGAGGTAAAGCTCATCATCTGCTTGTCTTCCTTGACTTCTCCAGTGCTAGCCTAACTGTGTGTTTCAGGGATATATCTATATCTATCTATATATCTATTTATCTATATCCATCTGTCTATATGTGGGGTTTTTTTCATTTTCTCAGTCAAAGTTTTAAGCATTTTTTTATCTGACTTTCACTCTGAATTTAAAGATAATTTTTAACCAAATCCCAATCCTGCAACCTCAGACCATAAATATGACTCTGAAAATCAGGGATTTTCAAGGCATGAGTTGGTGCCACAGCTTTGATTCTTTAGAAGGCTCCAGCTTGCTGCTAGGATCTTCCTGTTTTGGCATCTTTTGACAGATGTAGGTTCTATTTATTGCTGGTTGCCAGCAAAATTAATGCTTTGTTTTGTTTATATCTTACCAGTGTTGGTTTGGATTTACACAGGGGTGAGTCTTTGCCAGTTGTAGTTTGGAATTTCAGCCCATGCTGAAATTTTATCTTTAGTTGATTATATGGTCACTGTAAGCATGAAACATAGATTTTGGCACACTGCTCCTGGAATTAAGTGGTGTGGCTCTTGACCAACTGTGCACTGATCCTGCCTGTTAAAGGTTATTCTCTCTCTCCTATGCATGCATTATCTCCTCTGCAGTTTTAGGACTACTATTGTGTTTGTCTCGCAGAGAATGCCTATCCCATGTCCTTTGGCAGAGGGATAGCACCTCTCTGCTAGGCTGTTTCCTCACCTACAGGAATGGCGCTTTGGGCCAGCAGACCCCCTGTTTATGCTGAGGGTGTGACACAACATATGTGGAGCACTGTTCCTGCAGAAGGACATGTTCAGAAGTTGCAAAAGGTGTAGCAAGACAAGCCACCAGAAGGCAGAAGCTAAAGTAATTCCTCCTCTGAATCTTGTACATGGGACAAATGTTACCCTGGCATTGCTGTTCTATAGTTGTTTTCTGTGTAGGTGTATTTGGTCCCACATAATGCTAGCAAGGCATGAATTTCCTTCGTACTGTGCATCTGCTGAATCTCAAATCAATATCAGCCTGTTCACTTTTGCTGTCTGTTCTCATAGTATGCTTACTGGTGTTTATATTTTGCTACTTAGCTCAATTTATTTTTGTTTAATTAATGCTATTTATCTAGTGCCACCTTTTATTTCATTTCTGAAATGTGTCTGTCCAGACTGAGTAATTTATTTTGTACATTACAGAAGATGTTTAAGTTAGGATTTCTGCACACAGGAAAGTGTACAGCAGCCCTTTTTAGTATTTCTCAGGGCTGCTTCTGCATCACTTGCAGTAGTTCAGTAATTAATGTAAACTTTTATTTCAGTGTGGAGGTTGGTGTCCGTGTTGAGGCTTATAACTGTGAAGAATGGATCAAGGACCAAGCACGGCATATTAACAGCGCGTTTCTCCTTTTTAACACTGTAAATGACCAAGGAGAGCTGCTCACCTTCCCCAGAATCAAGCCTACTACAAAGGTCAGCTTTCATTCTCAGGAGGAGGATGAATGCATACATGAGATTGTGGTCCAACCCAGCACACTGCATGTCACACAGCCAGCCACTGTAACCTTGCTAGGAAAGCAAGGACTAAACAGGGCTGTGCACTGAAATTCATCTTGCAGAAGAGAAAACCTCTAAATGAAGTGTTTGCCTTTGAGTGAGGAATCTGTTGTTGTTAGCTGCAGTCATTCAGAACTGAGAGTTGTAGTGGAGGGTAGTCATCGTGAGAAATACTGTAGTTAGTTCATGGGCAGGGAAGAAGAATTGGCTTTTTGCAGATTTTTGCACCTGTCTATATCTGTCTTGTGCAATCTTCACTGACTAGAAGCTGCCCAGGCAGCAAAAAACTGGCTGAAACTCTTAAATGTTTAGTGAATAAAGTTACTTTTATAAACCTTTAATAAAGATAAGAAATGTAGTTAATAAAGAAGATTGTAGGAATCAAATCCCATGACATGGATGGACTTTCTGGTTCCTTTGGCATGGTGATCTCAGTGTGTGTTTCCTTGAAAGTGGTTCATGAAGCACTCAGAGCAGTTTGAATACTATTGCTGAATTATTTGCTGTGATGTCACCTGTCATTAACCTTACTGCATTTAAGAGATTTTGAGAGCCAGCATAGACAGAAATTAAATTATTATTTAACATCAGTGAACTTACATTTTATAGGATGGTAACTGGACAAATAAATCAAGGTGTTCTATGTACTAGGTGAGTAAGGTTCATTAGTGCCCATTACAGGCTGTACCAAAGGGAAAAGTCACTCTTCCTCTTAAAAAAAAAAAAAGGAAAAAAAAAAAAAGAAGCCATAGCATCTTAGCTTCTGTTAGAAAAGCAGTGCTTCCCTTAAAGACTTGCCTAGAGGGTCATCCACAAGCTAAGTGTCAAGATAGGAACATGTACACCCATTCCTTCAGAGGCAAGCAAACAAATCTGGGAAAATTAGTATCTACTCAGCATACTTTAAACTACTACTTTCATTTGACTGAAACTGACAGTTGGTATGGCAGTGCTTTACAAAACAGGCAAGAGATATCATCAAAAAATACTATGTAGTCCTTGGTTTAAAGAGGGCTGAGATGCACTAATGTGGAAATTATTCTTATTCCAGAAGCTACATGTCAGCTCTTAAAAGCAGAGGAAAAGAAGCTTCTTCCAAAGTGGCATATCCTTCAAGATAATAAGTGCTATTGACCTTTAATGTGGTTTGGTATATGCCCTTGGCTCACTTCCATGCTTCAAAAAACTCATCCACCCTGGCAGAAGAGAAAGACCTGCCACCTTGAAGGACAGATTACATCTGTTTGCACAGTGCTTGCTGTGTGTCCCAAATCCATGTGCACTAAAAAAGGAATTCTTCTGTGCCTCCTTCATGCTTTCAACATCAGATGACAATAAATCAAATTGGTATTTTTTTTTGGTGGGTGGCACATTTATAAATAGTAGAATGTGTGTGGTGCACTGCCCAGCTGCCACTGGTTTAGGACCAAAAAGTGCTAGGAGTATGCTACTGTGACACAACTTTTTTATTGGATTGTTTTTGTAATCTTAAGGGAATATTGTCAAGTCAAAAGTTAATCACTGACTCAGGTTAATCTGGGGAAAGTCTAATGTACAGACTACAATTCTTTATTTATCTATAATACATCTCTGGCATTTGTCCATCTTTAAGAAATAGTTCTTAGTTGACTTTTTTTAGAGGGTGTCCTGAAATAATTAGATGTTACTGTCTGGTGTACTTTTTATAAAGGATGGTATGAGGCGATACCATGGAGCTATTGCCCGAAGGAGAATTCGACTAGCCAGGTATAGTTGGGTTACAAGACAAACTTGATTTTAAAAACTTATTTTTTTAATGTAACCTTTAAAAAAGTGATCATTTGTTAAGTAATCAAAGCCTCCTCAAATGTAACTGTTATGCTTCTTAACTTTCCAAATAATTTTGCCTGAGTTGCAGTGAAATTTCTCAGTCAAGAAAATTTCTCAATCACTACTCATCTCAAAAGTACTTTGCTCCTTAGGTTTTTTGTTTTCCTATCTTTCTTGGCAAGAAAAAGGAGTTATTGCAAATGTGTCTTGCAACCTAAAATTGATAAAATATCTGTAAAGTATTTAGAAGACATTTAAACCTATAGAAGTGATTGTTTCTGGCATATGTAGAAGAAAGTGTAAAGAACTAATTAATGCTATTATTTTTCTTTTGAACTTTGTTTTAGAAAATGCATGCTGTCTGCTAAAGAAGAGAAACCTTCTGATCCGTGGGAGAGAAGCAACCAGGTACTCTGCAGGTTGTGTCCTATGGTCTACTTGCATAAAACTGTGTATTTGTACACCTTTTGTGTGTGTAAAACAGTTGTGCAGGCCCTATCAGTTTCTAGAGTGAATCTTCTGGACTTTATGATAGTCATGGAAGAATGGATAAATGTGTAATAAGATGAACTTTTTTTCTTCTGAAAAAAGGGTTTGGTTTTTTTTCCTTTTATCCAGCCAATGACTTTCTCAAAATTTGCTTTGAGGAGATTGTTTAGTAAATGCTAATAGTCAGGGGAAAGATATAGCACCCACAGACAGATAAACAGTGGAATAGCATAAACTTTGTTTCTTTGGGAAAGAGAGGTGAAAATGTTTGTTCATTTCTAGATATTCTGCATAAAGGGGAACGTGTTTCTGGCTTGGAAATGCTTAGCCATATAATCACAGAATCACAGAATCGCTCGGTT